AACGGCGGTTCATCGAATTTCTCATCAGCCTTGATCAAAGGCTTTGGTTTCAGCGAGATCTACACTACACTCCTCCAACTACCCACAGGTGCGGTCGAGGCAGTGGTGGTTCCAATATGCGGTATCATCGCTACATACGTTAAAGATTCCCGTTGCATCGTTCTCGCAGTCGTATGTTTGATTCCCTTTGGCGGTCTTCTGGGTATCCGATTTACCAGCCTCGACCACCCCTGGACTTTAGTCGGATGCACCTGGCTACAGTATCTTGTTGGTGCTCCCGTCATTATCTCATGGAATCTACTTGCCACCAATGTTGCCGGCCACACCAAGCGTGCGGTCGCTAATGGTCTCTGGTTCTCACTCTATGCGGCCGGTAATGTTGCCGGAGCGAATATCTTCTTCGCCAATGAGTCCCCCCGCTATTACTCGGGTCTGATGGGCCTGCTCATTTGCTATGCGGGCATCATTGTTCTAGCATGTGCGGGATATGCGTCGATGAAATGGGAGAACTCAAGGAGGGATGCTGCAATGGCTGCGGCTGATACTGATGAGACCCCGGAGCATATTACCTCCCAGGCTATCTTGGATGGCTTTAAGGATATGACGGATATGGAGTCCAAGCATTTTAGGTATGCGCTTTGAGCTTGGCCTCGCACTTTAGATTTAATTATATGAAACACTTTGGGAGACAAGGCAATGGCCAATGATGATCCAAGATTTATTTACTGTGGCTAGGAACCCCCGTAATCCTGAACAATGATGGTTTGTACCAGCCTTCTCATCTCGACGTTCGACTCATTCAACAATCTTGTAGTCAAGCTCTCAAACCCAAGCGCAAGGCACAACACAATTGCTCTGTACAAAAGCTTTCTAGAAATCTTGCTGAAGCTCTTGGGCACTAGACATAATGAAAACAGACCATGCTTGGTATTGGAGCTGGGAGAATAGGCACAGGTAAGCAAGACCTCTGCTATGGATGTGCAGGTGTAGTTTGTCATATCATTTCTGCAATCATATACTAGATATCCCAGTTTAGACCTGAGAATAGGCTGAGACGGGGCAACTCATGGTACTCCTGGGTAAACCGGACCTTGCGCCTTTTGATCAGATGTCCGGATTCGTCTTGTTCAGCTACTCGTGCCATAGTGCCTTGGGCGGTGAATAAAAGGGAGTAAGCAGAATGGTAAATGAAATGAAAGTGGCTTTGAATATGAGAGTGACGTTGATGGATAATGGAATACAAGGAGACGGACTCTGTATGCGACAGATGGTGATGACAGATGGAAAAGAAAAGAGACTGGGTGGATGATGTTGGATGACGGGAAAAGATAAATAAGGGAAGATTGTCGAGGCAAGAGTTATAGTCCTCACAATCACATTTTGACCCAAGGCTCTCAGGTCAACATTCTTTTCTCGTGTATATATAAAACATTCTACTGTAGAGCCCAGGAAGGAGGCGAACGATTAGAAGTATATCGAGAATCTAAGGACTGCCTCGATCTACATTGGGTATATATCACTCATATACCGGCTTGTACAGTAGCGTAGCCTACCTAGTCTGTAAGGGAAGAAAGCATGCAAATATCGTCTGTGTGAATTGTCAACAAATGATATCGTAATAGTGACAATCTATGAAGACAAAAGGGAGAAAAAGGACTATATTACAAAACAGAAAAGCCCTCCAATGTACTAGGGGTATAACATGATCATCCAAAGTCACATTGCGGAATCGCTTCATATCACGGTTTTTCTAGCAACAACCACAGTCTCATATGGTGTTAATCCAATATGATCTGGAAAACTCAACTCAGAGAATAGAGATTGACAGAAACGCGGCTCATAATCTGGCCAATCGACTCGAGGCCCGAGCCAGACAATGAAATCAACATTTCGATCACCATAGGTATCAATATATTTGGTGATGAGTTTTGGATCGCGTGGGTAGACAAACATCCACGCTGCAGCCTGTTGGGCGGCAGGCCAAAGGCCCCAACCTCCGCCAACGATATTCATATCTTCTTCGGCGATGTGCCGATTAATACTTGAATCCACCTCAACACCCTCAACGGAAAGATTTTTGTCGTAATCCACGATGAGACCTTCGAGGAGACCAGATCCGCTGCCGATTGAGATGGTGAATTTGGGCTTTGGGGGGAGGAGGGAAGCGAGGTAGGTGATCAAAGTGCTGGAGATGGCCAAGCAGCAGTCTGGGAATCTCTTGGGTTCCGGTAAAAGCCGCTCGGAGATTTGGGATATATCCATGATGTTCTTGACAACTTAATTCAATGTAAATATATTATAGCTCTTGGGGAATGGAGAAGATATCTCATTCGGAGGCGGATTTACTTAGCTCCCGGGTATCAGAATTCACATCGGGTATATAGCTTCCAATCCACATAGAGGACTAGGTAAAAGTTGATTATATGTAGCCGAGAGAATGAAAGGATTTAAGTATCAGGAAACATTTCAAGGGAAGGTGAACCCTCAGGCAGATATATATTCCTCAGGCAAATATTTGGTTCTTAGGCACCAATATTGCCTTTTTTGGAAGTATAGAGCATTGCTTGTGACCTTAGAACCTGACCATCGATTAGCTTCACTTTGTATCTAATATAATGAATATCCAACAGACAGATGTAGAAACGAAGATCCATGGGAGCTATACTGGCTAGAGGAGCTACATAATTGAACAGAAATGACCGGACTAGGTCCATAGGGAATACCAAGGTGTCAGAATCCCGATGTCATACCATAGCCAAGACTCTGAGGCGGAATCGCACTTCTCACATGATCTCTCGACTCAATATTACCTTCATCCCCATTTTTCTATCTCCTAAAACCCTCACAGGGTTTGCTATGCTACCTACTGAACTACACGGCTCAAGCATGACTGGAAAATCAAATATCATGTGCATTCAAAAACTTCGTACAGAATCCAGGTATCATGGCAGTCGCCGGAGTCCACCGGTATAAATATCAATCAGCGCCGCGTCTATTTCAGGCCTTCTCGATCAACCGATCAAAGATCTGGCTAATCTCCTTGGCACTCTTCTTTGGGATTCTCTTTTGATCGTTCTCATAGTCGACAAAAGTAACACCGAAACGGGTCTCATAGCCCTCAGCCCATTCAAAGTTGCTGTAAGTAAACAAGTTAGTCGGACGTTATATCAAAATCATCGAGGGAACAAGGTCCAAACATACTCCATAAGACTCCAAGCCATGTAAGCCCGCACATTGACACCGTCGTGGGTATAGGCATCAGCCACGGCACCGATGTAATCCCGGAAATACTGCACGCGGAACTCATCGTTGAGTAACTCCTCAAGCGGCATATCGTTCTCGCCCAGGACACTAGTACCGTTCTCGGTGACGTAGATCTTGGGGTATCCGTACCGCTCACTGAGCCACTTGAGCAGTTTCCGGAATCCGATAGCAGATGGTCGCAACCAAGGCGATTGTGTGAGAGGTCCGACACTGACGCCGTTCTTGTCTTCGAGCAGGAGCTCCAGGTTACCCGCGATATCGTTGATATCAGCCTCTCCAGTCTTGGCGCGGATAAAGTTCGCGCAGTAGTGGTTCATGCCGTAGAAGTCATTGCTGCCCTTGACAAGGGCGATATCCTCCGGTGACCAGGTTGGCAAGCGGTCACCAAGTTGCTTGATCATACTATCTGGGTATTTGCCATGGTAGATCGGGTCAGCGAACCATGAGATAGCAAACTCGATCTTGCGGTCACAGGCTTCCACATCGGCTGGGTTCTCAGCATCCCAGGGCTCGGCCCAGTCACCTATTTTGATGTATTTGATTAGTAAAGGCTCTGTATACGTGCGGGGAGAATGGGAACATACCGTTCAGCGTAATGCCAATCTCACCACCGTCTCGTTCTTTGAATTCATCGCGGTAAATCTTCACCGCAGCTCCGTGGGCAACTAGCAAGCTGTGGCTGACAATCCACGGCTCAGTGGAGCTATCTCCCACTGGGCTCTTGGTGCGATCACTTGTGTGGCCGGGGGCGAAGGAACCATTGTTGTATCCAAGAACACTGATGCACCAAGGCTCGTTGAAGGTGATCCAGTACTTGACCTTGGATCCAAAGGCCTCGAATACCACGCGGGCATAGTGTGCGAAATCGGCAACGAATTCCTCCTTGTTGAGAGGTCCACCGTAGCGCTTGTGGAGCTCATCCGGCAGATCCCAGTGGAAGAGGGTAATCATGGGGGTAATGCCCGCCTCAATCAGGTCATCCACAAACTTCTGGTAGAACTGTATGCCTTTCTTGTTGATTGGATCGTTCCGACCGCCGAGAGGGATAATGCGGGACCTATAGATTTAGACAAAAAGTCAAGGTTAGCAAACCTGGTGAAGCTTGGAAGCAAAAAAGGGAACGAACCATGACAGGGAAAATCGGTATGCCTGAGCACCGCATTCCTTCAACAAGGCGATATCCTCGTGTGTGCGGTGATAGGAGTCGCAAGCTACATCTCCAGTTCCGGCGCCGGCAATCTTGCCGGGGATCTTGCAGAATGTATCCCAAATTGACGGGGCACGACCATCTTCATTAGCACCTCCCTCAATCTGGTATGCGGCTGTTGCAAAGCCCCAGAGGAAATCCGAAGGAAGAGTGGATTGTTCGGTGGATCCCATGGTGAAGTGTTTCAAGAGAATAGCTGTAGAAGCCGTGTACCAACCAAATTTCGAATTCGAGAACACATCGATATTTAAGTAGTTTCTACATTTTTTTATTTTGTTGAAACCCCAAAGTGTGAGACAACATTCGAGAGCTTCCTTATCGTGACAGGAATGACCTCCGCGATCCGGAGTTGAGTCCGCGTCAAGAACGTCCAGAGGCTCCACCTCGGCTGAGGACGAATGGGCTCATTACCAACGGTTGGACGGGCCGAATAGAAAAAAACTTGTATATTCAAAACTTGTTACAGATGCAAATGTAAATACAGAAATCCGCCAAGAACTCCCGGATCATAATGCGTGCCCCATTCGTGTCATGACATTTCCATCCCTTCATCGTCCCCAACCTCGGACATTTCATCTGTACTAGATCCTAGCAGTCGAGAGCTTTTGTCTCGATCATCTAGGCAATCTGTCCCGAACGTGACCATCTCCAATTCAGGTCCTGCGAAGATACGACCTTCTGTATCCACCACCTCGCAGAGTTGGATCAGACTCTGGTGGCTGAGGGATTTGAAACCGTCTGTTCGTACCACGCGACCCCAGTATGTCAGGCAAAACTGCGCAGCTCGGCGCATCAACCAATGCTCATTGGTCCGTCCGGCACGCTCCCAGACGATCGCCGCATTGTCTACATCAAGCTCTTGGCTTAGCCTATTGACGCATAGCAGGCGAAGCTTCGGCATGTCGTAAAGATTGGCCATAACAAGCATACCTGCCACATCGATAGCGTTCGAGCAATAGTCTGGATGACCGGTGATACTGTCTGTGTACAGGTAGTAGAGAAACGCGCGGACGACAGAATAAGGCTCGGGGATGTGCATCCGCTTAGTGTGGTACTCAGCCATCTGGGCGGAGTACAGGCGCTTGAAATGTGGCCACCTGAGCTGCAAAATGATACGGTGGACATGGATGGGCTCTGAGGTCCAAGGGTTCTGTTCCACAAAGGTCGGCTGAGCCTGGGTTGGGGAGACGGACGGCGTGTCCCCCATGTCCTCCGATACGGATCCGTCATGATCGTCACGGATAGCAGTGATGACAAAGTCCGTATCACTTCCAGACTCAGGGGGTTGGTCAAAAACAGCGGCTAGATCGGTTCCGAGCCCGGAAACCAGAGACGGGCCCATTTGATCCGACGGCCAAGGTGCACATTGTTCCGGAGGTTCTGCCGACAGGCCGTTACCTAGCAAACCATACTTCTCCAGGTCGATAGTCAGGACTTCACTCATGTGGTTCTCGTCACTACCTCCCGGTACATTCGCAACATCAAGGCTACACCCCAAGAGCCAAGCTTTGGTCCCCGCGTCATTGACAGTGCAGTAGTGCCATCGATAGCCGGGGCGGAAGATCTCTTGGCCATCAGCTAGCCGTTGCCAGCGCAGCGAGTTGAGGTCCAGGGCCGACAGGTTACAATCATGCGACCGTACGGTCTCCGATGGCGTAATTAGGTCGAGCAGGACACCAGAGGCAAATGAATGGAAATGAGTACCAGAAAAGAGGGAGGGAACATGAGGGCCAGAATCAAACCTAAGACAAGATATGGCACCAGGCGCAACTGGCTTGCGCCGACCCAAATTGCGTACCTGTACACTGCCTGAATTGGCGGCGTAGATTCCGGAGCGAGGAGACATTTGGTGAGTGCTGCTAGATATAGAGTCTGGAAGATGAGCCGTGGAAAGATTGACGCCCAGGGAGTTGACGCTACCTTGGGGAGTAGTGTTTCCGGCCAGCGATGGAGATCCCTTGAGGTCGAGCCACCAGATATCAGTCGTTCGTTCCATGTCCGGACCCAATCCACCAAATATCCACAGTCGTGTGCCCCAGACCCAAGCTGTATGATCGAAGCGAGCAGTGAAGCTCCACGTTCGAGACCAAGTCCATGTTTGTAGATCCAGGTAGGTCAAGTCGTCCAAGATCACATTCTTCTCCCCTGTCACGCCTCCTACACCTGTCACTCCACCCACAATAAAAAGTTTATCTTCGTGAATGACAGCAGCATGGCGGGCTCGGCCGCGCGGGATGGACCCACGAATTTCGGGAAGTGCCCAGGTGAAGTTATTGAGATCAAGGATGACGACGTCGGAGAGGTATTCGCGATGCTCATTTTCGCCTCCAAACACAATCAATTTATCCCCTTGGTATAATGTTGCCGTATGTCCTATCAAAAATAAAATTTATAGTTAGAAAATTTATCACTAAACATGGACGAATGAGAAGAGAGAGTACCCATGCGAACTCCGGGGATATCGCCGTAGTTGTCAACGAGCTCCCACTGCAAAGTCTCCAGGTCCAGCCTGAGAACGTGGTTGTAAACTAAAGATTATTAGTGTCATTTGTGAGATCATAGGCGAAGGAGGGATGTCAACCTTCATCGGTAAACTGGTCAAAACCCCCGAACGCATAAATGCGATCATTGCTGCAGTACGTCACCGAGGCATTGACCAGGCAGGCGGGGACATGTCCTTGGGCCTTTTTTATGCTGGGTCGATAATCCGCACTGGTCCGACGACCCTGACTGGCAGGTAACAGGTAGGCGTCCTGCATTGCCATAGTACAACAGGATATTTAGAGACCCTGGAAGATCCCTAGGGGAGAAGTGGTGGGTCTCGGTGGAACTGGATAAGAGAACGTGGTGGGGTTGAAAAAAAGAAGAGATGTGCCATTCCAGTGAGAACAAGGGGAGACTTGAATTAAATCAACACACAATATGACATTTTTTTTCTCTATGAAAGATAACTGTATAGAATCTTACCTTCTTTGTTCTTGAATCAGACAATTGTGAGATTTCAATGCCAAGACGATCGTCACGAAAGAGGGCAAGCGCCGTTATATTCACGCTAGTCCCAATATGGGTTGGTGTATTATGTAGCTGAGGTAACCGTTGCTATGGGGAGAGCCTCATACTTTTCAACGAGTATAGTAGCTACCCTTCTTATTTATTCGGTTCTCTCCTGACTCTCCCTTTCCATTTCTTTCAATCTTCATCTTCTCAATATCCTCAATTGTCAGCATATTTTTTTGTTGGTTAATCTTGCATTAGCCTCTGCATCGATTCCTATTGCATCTTCTATTGGGGTTGGTCCCATTACACATCTACTCTGATATATTACCATGGCTTCTGTTACTGCCTCAACTCCGGTGAAGAGCCACCATGGGCTCTTCTCCTCCAAGACTGCTGGAGGCCGTATGCCTCTGAGCCCTTCACCCAACCCCCGCGTAAGCGGCCATTCGTCACCCTTCACTCCTCCTCGTCAGTCCGATGCTGGCCGCAGTCAAGCCAAGTCAGTATATGGTGGAAACCTCTCCGCCCACTTTGCCAAGTCTATCTCGAAAGCTGCCCGTACCACCCACCATAACTCTCCCAAGACAAACAAGTCGAACATTGCCAGCACCCGCACCCGCAAGTCACCCAAGCACTTGGAGCTGGGTGTCTCGGACTGGACTTTGACCGGCACAAGTGCGACAACAGCCAACACTCCTTCCAAGGAACATGTCCGCCGGGAGATTCCCACCCGTGCTCGTGCCAGCAAGACGACTGTGCGCATTCCTCACAACGCTGGTGACCGTTTTATTCCCAATCGGACAGCAAGTGAGGGTCTAGCCACTAGCGGGGCCGCAAAGCCCGACGAGAAACAACGCCCTAAGAGTGGTGGAGTTGACGGATCATCAGTCCTCGCCTCTGCAGCGAGCGCTTTTGACATTGGTGCGCGTGGATCGGATGATGACCTTACAGCTGCTTTGGAGAGCTTGGGGCTGGATGACAATGAGCCTTCTACCTACACACGCCCGGCTCCTGATACCGTGGCCTACAAATCATCTCTAGCTGAAGCTTGTGGAGTGAATATGAACACTCGCATCCTCGCCTTTAAGCCTCCCCCTCCCGAGTCATCGAAGCCTATTGATCTTCGTGCTCAATATAACCGCCCCCTTCGCCCTGCCAAATCGACAGCTGCCCAGTTCCGTCGTCGTGTTCAAACTGCACCCGAACGGGTTTTGGATGCCCCGGGTCTTTTGGATGACTACTATCTCAATTTGCTCGACTGGAGCTCTGGCAACCAGGTCGCCATTGGTCTCGAGCGAAACGTTTATGTTTGGTCTGCTGAGTCTGGCACTGTCAACTGCCTTTTGGAAACATCCCCGGACACATATGTGAGCAGCGTTAAGTGGAGTGGTGATGGTGCCTACGTTGGTGTTGGCTTGGGAACCGGTGAGGTCCAGATTTGGGATGTCGAAGAAGGTTCCAAGCTTCGCAGCATGTACGGCCACGACTCCCGCGTCGGTGTTATGGGCTGGAATAAGCACACTCTGTCCACTGGAGCCCGCAGTGGCCTTGTCTACAATCACGATGTTCGCATCGCAGAGCACAAGATCGCTGAGCTGGTCTCTCACACCTCTGAGGTTTGCGGTCTCGAATGGCGCGCTGATGGCGCTCAGCTCGCCACTGGTGGAAACGATAACCTCGTCAACATCTGGGATGCTCGCTCGCTGAGCGCTCCCAAGTTCACCAAGACCAACCACCGTGCCGCCGTCAAAGCTCTGAGCTGGTGCCCTTGGCAATCCAACCTCCTTGCTACTGGGGGTGGTTCCTACGACCGTCACATTCACTTCTGGAACACCACCACCGGTGCCCGTACCAACAGCATTGATACTGGCTCCCAAGTCACTTCCCTGCGTTGGAGCAACCACTACCGCGAGATTGTCAGCTCCAGCGGCTTCCCCGACAACTCTCTCAGCATCTGGAGCTACCCGACTTTGGTTCGCAATGTCGAGATCCCTGCTCACGAGACTCGTGTGCTCCACAGTGCTATCAGTCCTGATGGACAGATGCTGGCCACCACTGCCGCTGACGAGAGCTTGAAGTTCTGGAAGATCTTTGAGCGCAAGGCTGGTAGCAGTGCCTCCTCCGCTCGTGAGGGTGGTGTCGGCAGCAAGGCTCAGATGACAAAGTCTATGACCATCCGCTAGCCACCTTTTGCACAATTTCCTTTTTGTCTTTTTTTCTCGTTCGGATACCCTGGTTCATGGTGATATTGAAAGCATTGATGGGCTGGGACATTAATTTCGGTGTAATGGTTACTGATTCTTTTTTTGGTGATTTCGGCGTCCTGGGGGGCGGTTCTTCTGTATTTATTTTGCCGTAAGCTGGCTGTACAAATTGTCCAAACGCCATTCTTACGGTTGCATTAATTCATTTTGCCCATCCAACTTCTCTTTCATCTGTATCTTGAGACTCGCGATTTACTTCTAAGTTTCTACTTTAAAGTGGGTTGGTCGATGACTAAGCCTCCGGGATACAGTGGGATTTCGACCGCAGAGCCGTGACTTTCACCTTCGCCAACCCATCGGGAAACTCACCGTCTCATTTCCCTCTGACATTTGCACTTGCGTCGGTCTTTCCAAGTATTTCTTCTCTTTTCTATTTGTGTGAAAACTACAGATTCACAAATTGCTTGATATTGCGTCATTTGCGGTGATCGACCAGCACTTCGGCAACTTGATAGTTGCGACGGAGCACTTTACTAGTCAAGCTATCATCACCTAGTACACTTCAGTCGCCGTATTGCCTGCTCTCTGTTCCTTTCACATAATCATTCACCAGCTCACCAAGTTGTTTTTGCTCAGCAACCATGTCCAACCAGCAAGTGGTAAGTCCCAACTTTACTCTCTCTTCTCCGACAACCCTGTTTATCCTCCACCGTCGCTCGCATAGAGTCTTTACTCTTCATTTATAACTGTGTTCTCCTGATTCATCTTGGAATCTTTTGAAGTTTCTTTAATCCGAGTTGAGAGCTGACACATATGGCTTCATAGGGTGCGGTTTTCGAGAAGGTCATCCAGGAGGTCTGTGATGCCTCCCAAGTCGACTTTGAGGAAAGCGGTGTCGATCAGCAGACCCTGCATGATCTGCGCGAGGTTAGTACCATATTCCTTTATTATCTATATGTTGTCAAAAGTCTCTGTGGATGATTTCCCCAAAAGCGGGGATGGTCGAGGTGGTGCGGGAAGTGCTTATGGGGGAACACGGGGCTTATGAGTCTTCCCTTTATATGTGCCGCTGTTACCCGCTTAGGCGCTTTTAGACCGCCAAGATTCTCTGATTATGCAACCTGGGTAACTTGGAACTAATTATTATACAGACCTGGCAACATAAGCTTTCTTCAGTGAACGTCGCTCATTTCCCCTGGGATCCCGCTCCTCAGCCTGCTCAGCATTCTGTTCCCCTCCCCCCGGTTACTGTCCCCTCCAACGCCCCCCGACAACCTCCTCCCCAACAGCAATATGTTCCCCCACCTATGCCTCAAGCTGCGCCCTCGCACCCCATGCCCATGGGTGGCCCTCGTATCAAGACCGAGCCAGGGTCTAATGGCCAACCCGGAATGCCGCACATGACTTCACCTATGCCCCCGCATGGTCTCAACCCTCAGTCGGCTCGCGACCGTGCTGCAAATGCACTTCACCAGAAATATGGCGCCGCTGCCGCCAACTCCGTCCACCAAATGCAAGCCCAGGCCCAAGCTGGACAAGGATATCCGCAGATGCACCCCAATGCTCACGGGCAAATGCCACCGATCAAACAAGAACAGAACTACCCGCACCCGCATCCGCACATGGGTCCTGGACAGACTGATGGTGGAGGTGACGACCCAATGACCGACTGGAAGGCAGAGGTAGCACGCCGCAGAGCAGCTGCCGAGAGTGGGGAAGGTGACCGACTTCTGCGCGAGCACCTTAAGCAGCGCATGTCTCAGTATGAGGGTGGAGGTCTCCTTCGCCCTTTGGAAGAGCATGAGTCCTCTTCCAAGGTCGCTCGCCGTGTGGCTCTCACCGCACCCCTCAGCCAAAACACTACCGAGTCAACTTCATCTGCCCCTCGCGTCACTGGCCAATTCGACGGCGGAGAAGACGATGTCAAGGAGGAAGATGAAGATGCCATCAATTCGGATCTGGATGATCCAGATGACCTCGTTGCTGACGATCATGACGCAGATGAGTCGGAGGGCCAGGTTATGCTTTGCACATACGACAAGGTCCAGCGGGTGAAGAACAAGTGGAAGTGCACCTTGAAGGATGGCATCCTGACCACTGGTGGCAAAGAGTAAGTTATCCCAATCTCCCGTGATATGCATATCCTAACCCTATTAGATACGTTTTCCACAAGGGTCAAGGTGAATTCGAGTGGTAGTCAAAACGACACCATCACTCTTTTTTTTCTGGTTTCCATTGACGACATCTCTTTCCTCGTTCTGTAACAATCTTTTTGCTCATGTGCTCTCTCTCATGACACAAACGAAAACCATTCCCTACATCTTTTCAGTCACGCTCTCGAAACGGTTTGTACAAGCGAAATATTTCTCATGATTCTCACTACCCAAATATCGACATGGTCAGCAAAATGGTCTTTGCTCTGCTTTTTTTTTCCTTGATTTTGAGCTTCCAGTGGCTCACGGCGCTTACAAGTGAGGATGGTATTCTGCTTTTTTTTTCTTGGTTCTCTTTGCTCCCTGCCATACCTTTTTTAAGGTTGGTTTTGTACTAGATTGAGA